CTAGTTCCAACTTTTGAGGGAATCACCATACTGCTTTCCACAATGGTTGTACCATTTTACAGTCCCACCAGCAGTGTATGAGAGTCCCAATCTCTCCACAGCCTTGCCAGCATTTGTTATTTTCTGTCTTGTTGAACTTTGCTACTAGTGCTGGAGCAAGATGGTATCTCATTGTTGTTTTGATTTGCATTAACGTTTGATTTTTCAGAAGTAGTTCACCAGGCCTTTCCTCTAAGGTACCTCCGGGTGAACTATAACCTCCAACATTTGGTTAGCAGCCAAGTTCATTAACTTTTAGCACCAGCGAAGCACTCCTCTTAGCAACCTAGCCCTGCTCAATCAACCCTGACCCTGGTGAGGTTTCTGGGTGGCATTTTGAGTAACTTTTCCTTTAGCTACCTAAGGCCTCCACTTGTCCCCATGTTTATATCTCTATTGTTTCTCAGTGCAAATAGAATGTTGCTACTCCTTTCTCCTTATCTATGCTCACTTTGACCTTTCCCTCAACCCAGCAAGCTCCCCTGTACATATTCACCTGTACAAGTGACACTGCACCAAGTTTGTGCTGAAGGTGTACTGGTCCTAGAACATCTTCTGGGCTACAAAGTTGGCTGCCTTGGAGTGCAAGCTGGCCATGGGGGCCAGTGTGTTGACTTTCGACATGAGGGTTATGTTCAGCCCAACTCACCAGTCATTGTGAATGCTGCTGGCCACCTCCTCCAGAGAGCCAAACTTGGCACTGGCCTTGTAATGCTTATAACTGGAACTCCGGACATGCCAGTTAGTGAGTGCCAGGGGCAGGTGCTAGAGAGTGCCCTGTTGTAGAGTGTTTTCACAGAGGGTACAGGAGCCATCTGGCCATTGGAACCTATGTGTGTGCACTGGAAAGGAGCCCATGTGGTGGAGGCTGATCACATCCACACCCTCCCCTGCCAGCCATGTGTTGGGCATGGACCTGAGAACACGGTGGCACTTGGAGCTGTTGGCCGTGTAGCAGGGAGCCGAAGAGGGCAAGGGCCACAGCAGAAGAAGGATGCTCTGGAGGAGCACGCAAGTAGTCATGGCTACACAGGGACAGGGGTGCTAGCATCTGTGAAGCTGAGCTTGTGAAGGCAGAAGTAGACCAGGTGTCTACAACTTCTCACCCTCTTCACACACTCACCTAGTCCCCTTTCTAGCATCTCCACTTGCTGTCGGGAACGTCCATGGGCATACCCTTGGCCACAGTGGAGCTGGTGTAGGGTACAAAGCTGGAGTTGGGGATGGCTCAGCTGAGGGTACTCAGGGGCCTTCAGGAATGGAACAGGTTCCATTCTGGAGCAAGTGGTCTTCAGTCAAGCTGCAAGACCAAATGTCTCAGTTTTCCCAGGGGGCTCCCCTTATCAGTTTGGTATCATCCTAGAAGGAAGCTTTCTTCCCTCTCTTTAGGTACCTGGCTCCCTCATCAGCACTCACCTGGATTGCCTCTGATCCTATTTTCAGGTACTCCGGTCCAATGCATAGCAGAGGGGAGTAAAGATTGTGACGCATCTCTTCTCCTTTTACTTATGGAGATAGGTGACCTGTCACCTCTTAGGTCACAGGCTTATAGGAAGTGTCTGGGAGGACGTTCCCATGGATCTCTGTTTTGACAGCTTTTGTTTGGAACCATCCTTTTCAAAGACTTTTGCATAGAAGACAGCCTTGGAAGATAGAATCTTACCTTCCTCCAAGGCAGAGATAGGTTTGTTTGTGGTCCCCTGGGGCAAACTCCAGAGTGCTCGGCTGTGACACAAACATCCACCTGGGCCGGCCTCTGAATCACCCCGTGGGACTTAGGGGGCAAGGATGCTCATGTGGCCTGCTGGACTGTGAGCAATAAAGTGCTTGATCTCTGATTTAGAGTTTAGTGTCTTCTGCCAGTATCTATGAAACTGAAGATTATACAAGTAGGGTAACATCTCAGACTCTTCATAGGCCTTGAGAGTTTCGGGGATGAGGTGCTGATGGACAGAGCCCTGTGTGGGCAGTGGAGGGGGATGTGAGAAGACCTCCAAGGATCAGGTAACAAAGGCTCTCAACTCAAGTGGTGGGTGAGGATTGGGAGTAAGGACCCTGCACTGTCCTCCCTGTTAGTGAGGCTGTGAGGTAGGAGGTAGAATTGAAATAAGTTGTTCCCTCTCCTGCAGACAGGAAGAGGAGGAAGGATCCAGAGTCTTCCATGCTGACTGAGAGCTGAGCTCTCTGGACAGATTCAGAACTGCAGGCTGCTGGACACCAAAGCACCAGGCAGTGCCCCTCCCAGCAGACTGAAGATGACCAACCACCCACTGTTGACATTTCTTTTTTTCTTTTGGTTTTTGGTTTTATCAACGTGAATGTAACTTATTAATTTATGATAGGAAATTAAGCATCAATAATTATTATTCATTTATATTGAGTGCCCCAATTAAAGTACTTTACATGGATTATCTCATGGTATCTACTAGTTCAATTACCATTTGACTATAAGAGTATCTAAATTTAACAGGTTTAGATCAAACTGCTTGTTCTGGTTACCTACTGCTGCTCTGACAAGAATATACCACAAATGGGATGGCCTTAACAAACAGGAGTTTATTCTTACAATTTGGAGGCTTTAAGCTCAAGTTCAAAGTGCCAGGCTTTAGGGGCTGGGTGAAAGCCCCTCAACCTTGGGGTCCAGCTCTGCCTCCTGCTCCCAGCCCACTGGAGCTAGAGGCATTTCTTCACTCAGACAGCTGCCGGCTGCTGAGGCTGAGAAGCCCCAACGTTGACAAGTAAAAAGG